ATGTTTCACAATTTTGGTGTAACATGCTGCGCGCGCACCCTGCGCACCCTGAATTTCCAACACTGCTGACACCTGATCTGTTACCACGGGCAAGTCAACATGGTTATAGACTCGTTGATCTTGATCTTTAAACGTGATAGGATCTGAAATAAGTTCAACAGATTTTAATTTATTCATGTTTTATGAAACAATGATAGATTAATAAGTTTAATATGCAAGATTTATTGTATCTTCTAACACAAGTGTTTGTGTACGAGTATCAATCAATGGTTATGGGAAGGTTTCTGTCGACCCTTTTATATTATAATCCCAGGCTATTTTAAGATTGATTAAATTTTCACTAGTGTATTTTCGCATGTTACACCTTGCAAAAATATTGTTATGCATTTGTCGTGTAATTCTTGCACAAAAAGCTATTTTAAGCATTTTAATGAATTTATGTATGCCTTTGAACAAATAACCATAAGCCAGTATTTTTTTGGCAACCATATATTTACATTGAATTTTTTAAGATTGTCTGTTATAACTTTGGACCTTAATTTTCACGAAAGTCAATTCTGATATTAATGCTAATATTAGTATACTGTATATAGTATTACGGTGCAGATCATCTATTACAGATAATCAATTTTACCAATGAGAGCTTTTTGCTTTTTTACGCATGCTGTGCCACTTGAGATCAAAAAATTTATTAAAGTTTGATCGCATCTTTGTTGTAAAAAGTGTCAAGACAATAGTCTATTTTATTAAATTCGAAACATATAAATATGACTGCCGTTCCCACATTTTTTTTCGTAACACCAACAACATAGAGATATTTCTCTCACTCAATCTTCTACATTCGGCCACGGCGTCTATCCTTCAGGCAATCAAGATGAAACTCAATTTTATGAATGAGTAAATAAATCAAGTGGCATTTTGCTGATCAATTCAAAAAATTTTTTTATAGATCTCTTGACTTGGACAGTTCAATCTTTTATATTCAGAAAGGACACTCCATCCATCTTTAAACATTCAAAATCGAAGTACAGTATATTTATTGATTTCGATTAGTGTATGTTGAAAGTATGAAATCCTAAACGGACCACAAAGGACAAACCTCAGAATTTGAAGATACAAAGTCTGATGATCAAACAAAAATTTAGATATAGTTATGAATATTATATTAAGAAATCAAGTATTTATGTAATAATTCGAATTTAATTTTTTGTTTGTAAGTAATGATAGTTGATTAATCTCATTTTACATAACTTTTTTTTAAAGATCTTTTTTTATTCAAAGACTTATTTGTAGAGGTTGGAATCGTCCAAAAAATCCTTAGTCGACTACTAGTTGGTCAAAAATTTCTTTAGTCAACTATTAG